CTTTAGGGTTCAGCTACCTTGGTCGAGATACCATCCCTGGCAACATGGGCTTGATGGATCAAAGATTAGCCTTACAGTGGGTGAAAGACAATATTGCCAACTTTGGTGGAGATCCAACCCGAGTCACCATATTTGGAGAAAGTGCTGGTGGTGCAAGTGTAGGTCTACACCTGGCATCACCGCTGTCACGTGACCTGTTTGACAGAGCAATAATGCAGAGTGGGACTCTCATCTCCCTATTTGCAGACCGCATGCCCAAAACAGCAATACGGACACTGAAGAGACTTGCTGATCACCTTGAGTGCCCTTCATCTTCAACTGATGCAGAGATATATGAGTGCTTGAAGACAGTAGATGCACAAACTATGGCAGACCTTCAGCTAGGTTTGTTCGGTGAAGGAATTGCATTTCGTCCAGTTGTGGATGGGTACTTCCTCCCCGATGACCCCAAAATTCTTCTGTCCACTGGCTCCATCAAGCAGACCAGTGTATTGCATGGTTTTACTAAAGATGAGACAGCACTGTTTTCTGCAATGATATTGAAGCAGATGAGAAACGTATCAACATTACCTGAATCACTCATTTTAAGTCGTCAAGAATATGATAATTTTATTTCATTTGACATGCTCACTGGAACAGACATTGAAGAGCCTATTCGTCTGTTTTATGAAAGTCAGATACCCCTTCTAAAGGACACGGACTATTTAGAGGTCGTAACTCGTGCAACTTCAGACAGGGGATTTAAGTGTCCTCATCTTGAGTTTGACAGATTATATTCTCCTGCTAACCCTACCTATGTCTACAGCTTTAATCATCGACTGTCAATTAGTCCGTATCCAAAGTGAATGGGAGCACCCCACTGGTACGAGCTTGACTTTGTTTTTGGTTGGGTTCTGGAAAAGTCTCTGGGATGTACAGAGGAGGAGATGGAACTCAGCAGGACCATCATGACGTACTGGACCAACTTTGCCAAGTCCGGGTGAGTGAGTGACTGAATGAGCGAATGAAATATACATTCAATGATAAAAACGTTTTACTAAGTCACCCTTCTTTAAATTATACCACAGATAAATGTGTATAAAATAATCATGATTTCTTGATGTTTTCTTATGTGTATCCAGCGATCCAAACGCTCCTGTCCCCGTCAAGGTGAACTGGCCAGCCTCTGACAACACTGATCTCTCCTACATGGCCCCTTGACGTGGGCAGCAAATTAGCAGCAGGACATGGGGTAGTCCACCATGAATGTGTCTTCATCAACAGGATTCTACCCATGATTTCTAAAGGTAAATCTATAATGGTACATTGGTTCCTGGTACACATAAATGAATATTTTTAGAAGTGACTTGGATACTTCTCTTGTTTGGTTGAATATTTACGATGATAAGTAATGTTGTTGATTTTCTTTAATTATCACGAATGGTTGGAACAGACTCGTTTATATTGGTAGTTGTTGATTCTCAAGTTAAAACAAAATAGTTAACAGGGAATCAGTCTGTACGAGAATTGTGTGTGAAATTGAGAAACAAAAAAGATGTAATTAAACATTGTATTTCTTAAATTGTAAAGTCGCAAATCAATACAAAGACTTCACTTTGGGAGAGTGAGTGAGTGAGTTTAGTTTTACGCCCACACTCTGTAATATATGGCGGCGGCCAGTAAATAATCAAGTCTGGACCAGACAATCCAGTGATGAGCATCGATCTACACAACTGGGATACGATGACACACTTTGGCAGAACAAAATAGAGTGGCAGTACAAAGTCAGAGGTATAATATAACAGCAGTGATTGTAGAAATAAAGACAATGATGGTCATAGTGACCTGTCAGCAATAGAAATTCAACTTGGAAGAAAGGGCCAGGCAGAGAGTAAACAAAGTTTAAAGTGACCACTCACAATACTGGTCTTCTTGTGACTCGAGATGTGATGTGAGATGAAAGGCAATAGCTAAGTAAGATTCACTGACTGAATCTACAGGTACAAAGTATACCTTGAAACATTGTTGCACAACGTTTAACACCGCCTCATGGCAGCATGTTCATGCCAATATGTTCCATAGTGCAGCTATGGAAATTATGAATTCATGGTTGTGTTTCAGACCCACCGGAGGGGGCAGGAGTACTGCACAAGAGGATGAAAGGACAGCATCATACTAATCTGACCCAAGTTAAAATACTGATACATCATTAACTTTTAAAGCTGTTTTGAACTGTATCTGGAGTCCCAACAGATATTGTGATGCTGTTTATACAGCTTAACCGCCAATCACAGTCACTTCCACAATCACCCGACCACAGCCAATACACCTTTCAGACTTCGTGGAATAATTGTGTTGTTCCTCATGGTTTCATGTTGAATCTATTTTATATACTGCGGCAAGTAAGTGATCTGGTAGATACGTTATCGACTGAGGCAAGTCAATTGGCATATGTGTGGTAGTTGCATTGGTAACCCGATTTTACGTATCATATTTGCATTGTTAAGTGTAATTATGTATACGATATCTACACTGACTAGTCAACTGGCACAGTTGCTATCTTCTCATACAAGTCAACTGCTATACACGTGAGTCGACTATACGAGTAGGTCAGCTGGTCTACAGAGGTGCATTGCCTGGATATGACAACATAAAGATATGGTGTAAACGTATTTAAAAAACATTTTTCACACCAAGTAACCCATGAAGATCTGGGTCATAAGAGACGATGAAACGGATCGTGTGGGTGCATCACCGTATCCCATTTAACATGGGTACATGTTCATGATGTCAATCACTGGATGATTGGTCCACAGACCTCAACCACCACGACTCCCACAAAATTTGGAAATATGACAACTGCTAGTCTAGACTGTGGACGCTGTGTACCCCTCTGATTGGCACGGCTCCCGCGGCCGACAACATCCACTTGTCCGACTTCCATTTTTGTGGAAGTCGCGGTGGCTGAGCGGGCTAGCGGCTGACTTTGTGTGATGGCGATTAGGTACCTGACTCTGAGGGTGTGGGTTCGAATTCCGCATGGGACTCAACCCAACAAAAGTACTAGAATCTGTACTTTGCTAAGAAAGTGTAATCCCAAATATAACATGTGTTACATTTGACCACTCTCTAAATGGCATAGTGTAATAATAGCTTTCGGCCGTGGGAGCCGTGCCAATTAACGTTTATCAGAGGGGTACACAAAGTCCGCACTCTAGGCTACCAGTTGTCCGACTTCCATATTTGTGGAAGTCGCGGTGGCTAAGCGGGTTAGGCGGCTGTCTTTGTGTGCTGGCGATTAGGTGCCTAACTGTGAGGGTGAGGGTTCGAATCCCTCATGGTACTCAATCCAACAAAAGTACAAGAATCTGTAGTTTACTAAGAACGTGTAATCCCAAATATAACACATGTTACCAGATAAATAAACAAACAAACAAACAAACCCATTGCAGGGTTACACTAGTTTTTTTAAAAACAGTGAACTGAAATTTCATTCAAATAAACTTTAAACTGATTTCAAAGTCAATTTGTACGAAATTTCAGTTGCCTTGATGTGGCTTGAAAGCTTTGCAGGTGTCAGACGTTTACACAACAGGTGAAATCCACAGGCATGGATATCGTGACTATAACCAAATAGACATGATTGTACAACGCATTAAACGTAGGGGGTATTGAATACAAATGTGTTACAAATATTGACATTTTATCATGAAAAATATAGTGTAAAAGGGACATTGGCCAAACCTACATCCTGTCCATCACGATATATTTACCATGAAGAGTCAAAATCATAAATACCGTTTGAATCTGCCTCTATTCTCAAGACAATCTCGGATTCGTCGAGACATACTTTTCGTCAAACGTCCAATGTAAACTTGGTTCATTCTATCCCATTCTTCCTGCAGCGCTTCGCCAAGTTCATTAAGAGTGGTGGGTGGTTGTTTACTCCGTCTAAGGATATCCCAGACATGTTCGATGGGTGATAAGTCTGGACTAAGTGCTGGCCATGGTAAGGTGGTTATGTTCTCCTCCTGGAGGTTATGTTCTCCTCCTGGAGGATATGTTCTCCTCCTGGAGGTTATGTTCTCCTCCTGGAGAATATGTTCTCCTCCTGGAGGTTATGTTCTCCTCCTGGAGGATATGTTCTCCTCCTGGAGGTTATGTTCTCCTCCTGGAGGATGTGTTCTCCTCCTGGAGGATATGTTCTCCTCCTGGAGGTTATGTTCTCCTCCTGGAGGATATGTTCTCCTCCTGGAGGATATGTTCTCCTCCTGGAGGTTATGTTCTCCTCCTGGAGGATGTGTTCTCCTCCTGGAGGATATGTTCTCCTCCTGGAGGTTATGTTCTCCTCCTGGAGGTTATGTTGTTCTCCTCCTGGAGGATGTGTTCTCCTCCTGGAGGATATGTTCTCCTCCTGGAGGATGTGTTCTCCTCCTGGAGGATATGTTCTCCTCCTGGAGGTTATGTTCTCCTCCTGGAGGATATGTTCTCCTCCTGGAGGATATGTTCTCCTCCTGGAGGTTATGTTCTCCTCCTGGAGGTTATGTTCTCCTCCTGGAGGATATGTTCTCCTCCTGGAGGTTATGTTCTCCTCCTGGAGGTTATGTTCTCCTCCTGGAGGATATGTTCTCCTCCTGGAGGTTATGTTCTCCTCCTGGAGGATATGTTCTCCTCCTGGAGGATGTGTTCTCCTCCTGGAGGTTATGTTCTCCTCCTGGAGGATGTGTTCTCCTCCTGGAGGTTATGTTCTCCTCCTGGAGGATGTGTTCTCCTCCTGGAGGTTATGTTCTCCTCCTGGAGGATGTGTTCTCCTCCTGGAGGATATGTTCTCCTCCTGGAGGATATGTTCTCCTCCTGGAGGATATGTTCTCCTCCTGGAGGTTATGTTCTCCTCCTGGAGGATATGTTCTCCTCCTGGAGGATATGTTCTCCTCCTGGAGGTTATGTTCTCCTCCTGGAGGTTATGTTCTCCTCCTGGAGGATGTGTTCTCCTCCTGGAGATTATGTTCTCCTCCTGGAGGATGTGTTCTCCTACTGGAGATTATGTTCTCCTCCTGGAGGATATGTTCTACTCTGAAGGATGTGTTCTCCTACTGGAAGATATGTTCTCCTACTGGAGGTACTCCGTAACAACAACGATGTCTTTAAGTAATGTGACGTACGCTAATCGTAGGATAACATGCGGAGGTCATTTTTCACTGTAATGTGCAACACACTGACTCGTGTCACTGTATGTTTCAAAAAATTTACCCCAACCGCTTGCAAGAAATTCATAAGATATTTTCAATGGAATAATCAATTTCTAACCCCCTACAATCATGCAACCTCGTTTCCAGTTACTCCCAAATGAAAATATTCCCTACTTTTTTAACTGTACAGATAACATAAATCAGAGGTAACTGAGTTAGTATGAACAAGGTAGTTGAGCGGAGCTGTACCTTGACTTCAGGTGGAGAATCTGCAAGTCATCCAGCAAGGCCGTCAGTCTGATTACAGTATGTGTAAAGTAAACTCAGGGGGACTTCGATCATGCAGTCAATAGTGTTTGGAGGGGGATAGAATGACATGATTTTAACCAAGTTATCAAGCCAAACAGACACTTTAAGTCGTTTGCTACAACACATATGGATCCAGAAGCATTTCTTAGTGACCCAACACAAGTAATATATATAGTCGTTCATAAAACCTCATGCCCTCATTTGATCGTGACATACCCTGTAGTGATTACTGAACAGTGGGTGAGTGGTTCAGTGAGCGAGTGGTTGAGTGAGTTGTTGAGTGGTAGGGCGGTTGAGTGGGTGAGTGAGTGAGTGACTTTGGGCTATAAAGTTGAAAGTAATATGCTGTTATAGAACACTCACTCACGTATGCACGCATTGACTTACTCACTCTAAAACCATTCAGTTCTCAATTGAACAGACATTCTGAACTCACCTATACCTTGTCAAAGACAGACATCTTATGAACGCACCACCATTTCGCTTGATCGCAACCCCTAAACACAACGCATGGAATCCATCGTGCACAGCGCAGTAGCTCCATACACGTGCATGGGGTGTCATTTTTTTATTTTAGCGGTTTTCAAAAATATCGAAAAATCATTTTCACAATCATTTTGCATCACATATTTTTAGCCGTTTTGGTTCTTTTTGGTTTGAAAATGAAAATCATACACATGCAAATTTCACGTCATACACAAATCATCTTTCAAGAGCGATAACTGTATGAACAACTATGGTCATAAGAAAGTGCAAGTGGTGAACAGTCTCGAAACAGTCATTATAATAATATCAACATTCATTGACTCCCATATATCGCCCAATTCTTTCAATCGTAAAATATAAATGAGGTTTCCCTACTTTTCTTGAGGAGCATATATCTGAGATTTTGCATGTCACGCTAACCAGGTCATATCACTGGTGTAACAGCGTCTGTGTGTACACCCCAGTGCAGTGTCCACAGTACAACTGTAGAGTCAGGTACAAGGTGAGTGTCTAATGAAAAATGGTATTGTTGTCCATCAAATACCGTTGACGTATATATACTTGTCGAAATATAGGTAATGGCTAGCAGTGTTGTTACTCCAACAGTTTTGTTGAGTCAGATTCAGGGTGAGTTGAAAAATACAAGTGTTGTCCTTCAAAACCGTTGACGTTTATACCAGTGATTGTTCTTTATCTTTGAGGATTCAGTATAGAAGGACCTGTGTATTACTTACTCTTACCCGGAGACATTCATGTTGTTTACAAGCGATTGTTCTTTTTAAAGTGGCAGTTACACCTTCATGATTCTACTAGTAGACCTGTGTATTACTTACTCTTACCCGGAGACATTCATGTTGTTTACAAGCGATTGTTCTTTTTAAAGTGGCAGTTACACCTTCATGATTCTTGTCAATTTCATTGTGTAGTTTGTCTAATCAATATAAATACTTTCGGATGCGCCTCTGTTCAGTCAGAAACACAGGGGTGCCGTTAAGGAATAGATTGTAATGTGACTGTGAACCGTATTCAGTTTACCTAAGAATGAAAATTAATGGCAGATTAATCCACAGACGAGGCCATAAAATTCACCAACCGTTTGACAATCTTGACCGCTGTGTCTCTTTTACATACAATGAAGTCATGTCTACCACGTCACCATACTTAACTTTCCAAATTGTATGTCTGTGTATTTCCTGTTCCACCATCACCGTTACAGTTCTTCAATGTAATTACAATGCCAGTACGAAATATAATGGCAGAGGTGACAACAAAGTCAATGATAAATAATAATTCCCACATCAGCAACAGTGCTCAAGCTTCCAAAACAGACTTATACTAAATATCCGGGGTGAAAAGATGATGTTCACAGAATGATGGACACCGCTGTCCTCACGTGACAATCTCAACATTGTTTTCCTGCTTTACACAGCCATATTACACGTACACAGACATATTGTTCTACTGATTTACACAGCAATATAACACGAACCATCTTGGTTATTAGTGTCACATTTCATGTGTAAAGAAACTGTGATTAACTAGGAACATGAACTGAAAAGGATCAAACGTTCAACTGTAAATCGTATCTTAAAATTCAATATCTTCTTTCAGAATGTGGACAGGAATGAGACTTGCATTTGCGACGCTTGTTACGTTATTGCTGGTGTTGCCTACTGTGAAAACAAAGGAAGTGTCAACTCTGAATGGCCCACTTCTAGGACAACGTCTGTCAGTGTTGGGCAAGTCTCTTTGACGTATTCTATGGAATTCCATATGCCAAGCCTCCTGTAGGTGATCTCCGCTTCAAATACCCTCAGCCTTCAGAGTCATGGGGACCGGAAGTTAGAGATGCACAAAACCCGACGCCATCTTGCTTCCAACCAAAAAATGCTCATGGCACTGATGAAAGTTACAAACAGATGCCCGATGATTACAGTGAAGACTGCCTTCACCTTACAGTGTGGGCGCCATCAGCCAATGCTGGCAATCTGGCAGTCATGGTCTGGATCCACGGCGGAGCTTTTTATATTGGATCTACAAGACTGCCACTGTATGAAGGAAAATACATTGCAGCAGAGAATGACGTCATCGTTGTTTCAATGAATTACAGATTGGGGCCTCTAGGGTTCAGTTACCTTGGTCCAGATACCATCCCTGGAAATATGGGCTTGGTGGATCAAAGATTAGCCTTACAGTGGGTGAAAGACAATATTGCCAACTTTGGTGGAGATCCAACCCGAGTCACCATATTTGGAGAAAGTGCTGGTGGTGCAAGTGTAGGTCTACACCTGGCATCACCTTTGTCACGTGACCTGTTCGACAGAGCAATCACACAGAGTGGGACCCTCACTTGCCCGTGGGCTTACACTTTTCCCAACACAGCAAAACAGAAACTGAAGAGATTTGCCAATCTCCTTGAATGCCCTTCATCTTCAACTGATACAGAGATATATGAGTGCTTGAAGACAGCAGATGCACAAACTATGGCAGACCTTCAGCTAGGTTTGTTCGATGAAGGAATTCCATTTCGTCCAGTTGTGGATGGGAACTTCCTCCCCGATGACCCCAAAACTCTTCTGTCCACTGGCTCCATCAAGCAGACCAGTGTATTGCATGGTTTTACAAAGAACGAGATGACTCTGTTTTCTGCACTGACATTGAAGCAGATGAGAAAAGTATCTGCATTACCGGAAACATTGATTTTAAGTCGCACAGAATATGAAAGTCTTAAGTTTAGCATTGGGAAATGTGGACGGAATCGAAGAACCTCTTCGCCTCTTTTATGAAAGTCAGAAAGCCCCCCCCTGAAAGAAAAAGACTATTTTGATGTCGTGACTCGAGCGAGTACGGATAAGGCAATGAAGTGTCCTCATCTTGAGTTTGACAGATTGTACTCTCCTGCCAACCCTACCTACGTGTACAGTTTTAATCACCGACTATCAGTTAGTCCGTTTCCACAGTGGATAGGAGCAGCCCACTGGTACGAGCTTGACTTTGTGTTTGGTTGGGTCCTGGAAAAGTCTCTGGGATGTACAGAGGAGGAGATGGAACTCAGCAGAACCATCATGACGTACTGGACCAACTTTGCCAAGTCAGGGTGAGTGAGTGAGTGGTACATATGACTTATTGAGTCAATGATCGCCCTCAAACTTTTAAGACCTCTTAATCCTGAAAGAACAGCACAAAACACAAAGGAAACAACTTCTATCATTTTCATGTGTACAATGTCCAGAGACCATTTATGTTGTCCACTGGCGTTTTCAAAATGTGTCAAAAACCTATTTCACCCTCTCCAATTAACATGATACCAAACCCGTGGAGATCCGGTTTAGAATTGGTCTTCAGCAACTCATGTTTGTCGTAAGAGGAGACTAACGGGATCGGTTGGTCAGGCACGATGACAAGGTTGAAAATTGTCATTGTATACCACTGCATAGCTCAATGTTCATGCTATTGATCACTGGATTATCTGGACCAGGTTCAATTAATTACAAATCGCCACCATACCATATAGCTGGAATATTGCTGAGTGTGGTGTTAAACAACAAATGAACCAAACAAACAAATAAACAAAACATCCTAGAACTCTTTTATTTACAGGAACCCGAACACTCCTGTCCCCGTCAAGGTGAACTGGCCAGCCTCTGACAACACTGATCTCTCCTACATGGCTCTTGACGTGGGCAGCAAATTAGCAGCAGGACACGGGGTAGTCCACCACGAATGTGTCTTCATCAACAAGATTGTCCCCATGATTTCTAAAGGTAATGTTCATGATGGATAGTTAAATGGGAATGGTCGGGACCGACAGGTATTTCGAGTTATGCATAATATTCGAGACGCCGGCAGTCGACTCATCGGGATTTGACTGTAGTTGAATGGTTTCAGATGTGAATAGTTTCTCAAGTGATTATGATACTTATGTATACCAATACGTCCATACTGATCCACGGATACTGATTGGTTCGTGTCAACATGTTCATGCCCATATGTTAATGCTGATACCATCATGTTGATATGTTCGTAATGTTACCTTTATACCAATACGTTCATGCGGACATGTTCCTGCCCATATGTGTAGTCATCTCAGTGTTGAGCCTTGTTTCATGAAAGAAGTTTTACCCCCAACTCACTCAACTTTTCACTATAACCATCGCTGGAAGACGTATGAGTTAATACAAAAGGCACCTTTGTTTGTAACCAGATGGCAACAGCCCCTCCCCATGTCACGCCTGGTTTATCGTTGTGGATATTACACTGACTGTAGCACGGCAAATAATGAGTCCATTTAATGCTTTTCAGATCCCCCTGAAGGGCAGGAGTACTGCACGAGAGGATGAAAGGACAGCATCACAATAATCAGACCTTGAGGAACATACAGTCGAGCACCGTTGTGTCGAACTCTAGATATAATTTCATGGTGCCAACAAACAAAATTACCCTTTTAACTCGACATTGGCAAGGAACTCGATATTCACCTTCTTTTCATAGGCAAGTATCCCACTGAACGGACGTTGTTTCCACACATTTACACACGGTGCGGCATGAATCAAAGGGATGCGGTAGTGTAAACTAATTAGGGCTAATTGAGTTGAAGGTGTCACTTGTTTGTTATCTAATTAGGATTAATTAGGAAGGAATTAATTGGGAAGTACTCACTGATACGACTAAACACTACTGATAACGGATTATAGTTTCGAATCAAAACATACTAAGAAATCAACTGAGGGTTTTGTGTAATCGCAGTTGAGAATGTCGGTTGCGTTCACAAGATTTGTCGTGTATCGAGAGTGGTTATCTACTATCGCCTTCATGCCACCACCAAATGCCCGTCAGTCTAAAGATTTAGATCCAACTTTTGTATGATTCAAGAGGTGTACCTTGTGTGCCGTAACATTGCGATCCCTGTGAGTAAAAATGTATATACAAATATATATACATAAAATCTACTTTTTCTTTTCTTTCTTTCATAGTGATAGGTGATGATATGCCCTGGTCGGATGTCTCGAAGTTCGGATAACTCGATATTCTTTCTTGGTCCCGTGAATATCGAGACAACGGTGCTCGACTGTATACAGCGGGTGGCCATATTATAACGTACAAACACGGCGGACCGATTGTTTACACGGGAATTCAAAGTGTCATAACTCGTCAAATATAAACAGTCTTACCTCAATATTTTGTGATGTGTCCCTTGTTCCTTATTATTTTCAACATCCACCTTGGAATCGATGAATATACATTTCTGATGAAATCGAGGGCAATATTTTCCAAGTTGCCCCGCACTTCGTGTTCCAAGTAGGCAGCCGACTGAATGTTTCTTCGGCGTCCCTGAAGTCTATTCTTCAGGTAGAGCCAACAGTTCTCAATAATATTTGCGTCTAGACTCTGTGCAGGCCGCAACATTCCATTAATGTAATTTTGTCGCTTGTAATCCTGAACGACATGGGCCCGATGTACAGGGGCGTTTTCATATTGGAAGATGTACCGGTTTCCCGGCAAATGTCTGGCTATAACGGGCCAAAACATATCATCGAGGATTTCTGTGTATTTCTGAGCATTTATGTTGCCATTAACAACACAAAAAGGTACCAACACCATGCCAGGTGATACAACCCCACACCATCAATCTGACGCGTGGCTGTCGTCCCGGACAAAGACATTGCGGGAGGAATTCTTCATCGGGCTGTCTCCAAACAAAAACGCGATTGTTTTCCCCAATGATAATTTTACACTCGTCAGGGAAGATCACTCGATTCCAGTAATGATTCACTGTATGATATCGTTGCCCCCCTTGCCTAGGCCAAACGGTTTCTGACATTATAGTCACGAATTCGGATTTTCTTTCTAACAACACGTCTATGAAATATATTTTCATATAATCGTCTCCTTACAGTCCTCACCGATACACGTGGTAGCCCTATTGTTGTTCAAATTCTCAGTTATTCACCCAAAGGTGAAATCCTATTGTGTCTGACCAACCTCAAAAGTTGTCGATTGTCCCGAAGAGTCAGTTCCCTCATACGGCCTGTTCTGAGAGCATTTTCGTCGATTAAACCGCTTTACCACCGAATATACGCTGCTTCGGGGCATTCCAAAGAATTTTGCAATGTTAGAACATTTTCAATTACTTTTTTACAATTAATTTCTTAAGTGACTCCGACAAATTAGCCGATTTCCCCATTGTTACCGGAAATAGCCAGAATATGTAGCAGACAACAAGTGGATTAAAAATAGAACCACGTGACAGACACGTGACATCATGGTCGATCATATGACAAGATATTACTGTATGTCATTATCATTATTGAAGCCTCTTTAAACTGTACTGAGGAAGCAAAGTCACAGACATAGAATGCCACTCTGCATGGATGTTGTGACATCTTTTACACTGCTAAGTCATCCGTGTCTACAGGCACTACCTCTACCACTCCCAAACATACCTCCCAAGGACGCCATGGAATTAATAGTCCGACTGTATTTTATTATTCCTCACGGCTCCACGTCAGGACGTCAATTTGTACCCGTGCCTACGTTATATACTCAGAAAAGTCAACATGTCAATCAACTGCTCTGAAAGTCACTTGGTACAATAGTTAACAACTCTGGTAAGTCAAAGGACATCACCTTTACCACACCCCATATCCTATCAATATATCAATAATCTAACTATAGTTGGTTATTCCTCACAGTTTCATGTCAGGAAGTCCGATAGTGCCTACAGCATGCACTCAGGGAAGTCAAGTGTCTGCTCGGACAAGTCACTTGGTACCTGTGTTATCCAGCAAGTCAACTACCGTAGACATTATATACTCAGAGACGTCAACTGGTATGTAAACTATCTGCTCGGACAAGTCACTTGGTACATGTGTTATCCAGCAAAGTCAACTACCGTGTAAACATTCGGACAATATACTCAGAGTCAACTACCGTAGACAACTGGTATGTAAACTATCTGCTCGGACAAGTCACTTGGTACATGTGTTATCCAGCAAGTCAACTACCGTAGACATTATATACTCAGAGAAGTCAACTGGTGTGTAAACTATCTGCTCGGACAAGTCACTTGGTACTTGTGTTATCCAGCAAGTCAACTACCGTAGACATTATATACTCAGAGAAGTCAACTGGTATGTAAACTATCTGCTCGGACAAGTCACTTGGTACTTGTGTTATCCAGCAAGTCAACTACCGTAGACATTATATACTCAGAGAAGTCAACTGGTATGTAAACTATCTGCTCGGACAAGTCACTTGGTACATGTGTTATCCAGCAAGTCAACTACCGTAGACATTATATACTCAGAGAAGTCAACTGGTATGTAAACTATCTGCTCGGACAAGTCACTTGGTACTTGTGTTATCCAGCAAGTCAACTACCGTAGACATTATATACTCAGAGAAGTCAACTGGTATGTAAACTATCTGCTCGGACAAGTCACTTGGTACTTGTGTTATCCAGCAAGTCAACTACCGTAGACATTATATACTCAGAGAAGTCAACTGGTATGTAAACTATCTGCTCACTTGGACAAGTCACTTGGTACGTTGTGTGTATCCAGCAAGTCAACTACCGTAGACATTATATACTCAGAGAAGTCAACTGGTATGTAAACTATCTGCTCGGACAAGTCACTTGGTACTTGTGTTATCCAGCAAGTCAACTACCGTAGACATTATATACTCAGAGAAGTCAACTGGTATGTAAACTGTCTGCTCGGACAAGTCACTTGGTACTTGTGTTATCCAGCAAGTCAACTACCGTAGACATTATATACTCAGAGAAGTCAACTGGTATGTAAACTATCTGCTCGGACAAGTCACTTGGTACTTGTGTTATCCAACAAGTCAACTTGGTACAGAAGTCAACTGGTATGTAAACTGTTGCTCGGACAAGTCAAGTTATCAACAATTATATCCGTCAACTGGTAGACATTATATATTTAGAGATATTATACATTTAACTGGCATAAACCATTTACTCAGACAAGTCAACAATGGTACATGCGGTACAGACACAGATTAATCGGGTGGTACATGTTCACTGTGTTCGCCTTTTCTTCATGGATATATGAACTGGCATACCCAATACCTACGCTCACTGATCATCTGGTATATTTGTATCTAGTCAGACAGGTCAACTAGTATAAACGCTGTCTTAATGGACTAGTGAACAGCTACATACCTTACTGTGAAACCAACTACATCATACATTATTCACTGGCACAAATCAATCGGTACATGTGTAATCTATTCTGGCAAGTCAACACATCGCCTCCAACAGTAGAGCCTGCTACTACAACATCCACAATATCAGCAAAGTCCGCCACTACCTCGATACTGACACCTGTAAACTCCTAATGGACTGTCTTGTCACGTGTATACTCGACTACTGTAAGTCACGATATGCCAACCTCTCCACTAGATCACTCCAGAAACTAATAAAGAATCCGAAATTCTGCTGCCAGATGCATCACCCAAACTCCCCGTCATGACCATATCACACCAGTGCTACAGTCTCTACGCTGGCTCCCCATCTCTGCAAGAATTACCTTCAAAATCCTCATTCTGACTCATGACTGCCTCTACAACGATAACTTTCCCGACTATCTCAAACATCTCGTCTCCGATCCTCCTCTGGCTCTCTCCTCACCCAACACAGATCTCCAAACCAACTGTCTGACCGAGTCTTCTCCTTTGCCAGCCCTGAACTGTGGAACTCTCTTCCAAAGAAAATCAGGAACACTTCATTGAAAGAAACTTTAAATCTTTGCTTAAGACCCATCTGTTCACTGCTGCCTTTCTGTAAAGTTATATGAACTATTTCCTTCCCCAATATTGTCACAGCGCCGCTGGGCATCACTACGATGGATATTAGGCGTTATATAAATACATTATTATTATTTGTCAATAACGGCATGAAAAAACATATGGTCAACATTCTTTATAGATATTGTGACGCCTTCTCTACTGAACAGCCACCAATCACAATCACGCATATATACCCATCAATAACGGCATGGAATAAACACAAGGTCCGCATTCTGTTCTTCCCTGTTGCATGTTAAGTCTATTCTAGCATATCAATGGATATGTAATGTCCACTGAATCGTATGCCAGTTGCGTAGATTGATGCTCATGCCGTTGATCACTGGATTGCCTGGTCCAGAAAGGTCCATTGGGTGGTAGTACTCTGTACTACCTTCAAGAACTCTAAATATAGCGCACGTCTATATACAGTCAATGTCAGTCTAACCGCTGACTCTCTGCTCTGCAGTGCTATACACTTGGAACATTGTTACACAATGGACATCACTGCCACTCAACACCATGAAGCCAAAGCTTCAGGTCCTTTCTACAACTAGCATATGGACCGAAAGGAACTCCAAGTGATGTAATCCAAAATATGAACAACAATAGTTGGCCATAGCATAATATTCAATACAAATAAGGTATGTTCAATAAACAGGTGTCACAGATATTGATAGTTTATATCATTAATAAGATCAGTAGCTTAAACAGTGTAAGATGTGGTCAAAGCGTCCTGCTGTCCATCAGGACATTTTGCATGAAAAGTCAAAATAATTAATATTACGTGAATCAGCCTCTATTCTCAAGGCAATCCCTGATTCGACGGTGTACTCATCACCAAACGTCCAGTGTTAACTTGGTTCAAGCCATCCAAATTCTTCCTGCATGGCAGCGCCATGTTCGTTAAGAATGGCCGTCGGTTGATATCCAAGACATGCTCTGGATAGAGTGCTGATCATTGTAAGGTGGTTATGCTCTGCTCATTTCCTGGTCATTGAGGTACTCCGTAACAATACTAGCGATTTGCGCTCTTTGTTGTCATCCTGAAGCGTGACACTACTAGCGATTTGCGCTCTTTTGTTGTCATCCTGAAGCATAAACTTACGCTTTTTGTAATAATATATGTCACGCAAACCAGGTGATCTTATCAGATAACACCCGTTTAGCAGCATGTCTGTGTGTACACCCTACAGCAGTGTTCAGAGTACAGCTGTAGAGTCAGGTACAAGGTGAGTGGGTGTTGAAATATTACATTCTGTTTTAACATTGACGTATACCATTGTCCGAATTATAGCTAATGACTGACAGTGATATTCCTCTTGGCCAAAGCAGTTTATCTTTGAGGATTGAGGCTCTATATAAATACAAACAAATAGGAAAGTCTGCCACCTACCTCTTCCACATGCGACTCTAGCTCAGACGTACTACAGTCAAGATTACACCATTCAATGCCTCGGGGGCACATTGATTCATTGCCATAGCCATGTATCAGGGTTTGGATTTGGGTCATTACAATGTGAGAAATACTGTAAATAACAGGCGCAAATATTTCAGGCACTTGTACTCAGTGTGTGTGTGTGTGTGTGTGTGTGTGTGTGTGTGTGTGTGTGTGTGTGTGTGTGTGGTGTGTGAGAGTGTGTGAGAGAGAGAGAGAGAGAGAGAGAGAGAGAGAGAGAGAGAGAGAGAGAGAGAGATGGTCGTCAGTTTGTTATTCTTACTCAAATGTTCTCTTCTCAGGTTTTTGACATTCGAGGCCCTTGATAGCTTTCAAAAAATGTAAAACGCATAAAAGAAATGTCCAGACTAGACACGTCAGTGACATTAATGATGTCTATTTTTTGTCTTGATTCCAAGTTAACCCACAAATCTGTACGCGATGGAATTTATGGTGAGACCACCAAAAACAAAACAAAGATATATCAATGTGTTATATATGTTAAGTTTGGAATTGTGTTGAACTAGGCTTCCAAATAAATACTGCAATGGATGTACACAATAGAGTGGCAGTACGATGGATATATATCACGGCAGACATAGCAGTAAAGTCAGTGATAAATAACATTACCTCATCAGCAACAGTGGACAAGTTTACAAAATACACGCTTCCTGATTAGCCAGGGTCTAACGATGATGTGCACAGAATGCGAGACACCATTACCCTTTGGACAATATTTTCGGAAACAGTTTGATGCAATAATAACATTGTTTCCCCGCCAGCACACAAATATAACAACATTTTGACTTGTACTTATTATTATCACAAAAGAAAGTAAATGAACTTGTTTAGTTATATTCTTTCAGAATGGCAGCAGCAATGAAAATTGCGCTTGTTACGCTAGTGGCGGTCTTGCATATTGCAAAACACAGAAAGTGTCAACTGAAGATGGCCCACTTCTTGGACAACGTCTGTCACTGTTGGGCAAGTCCCTTGACGTATTCTATGGAATCCCATATGCCAAGCCTCCTGTAGGTGATCTCCGCTTCAAGCACCCCCAACCTTCAGAGTCATGGGGACCGGATGTTAGAGATGCACAGAAACCAACGCCATCTTGCATTCAACCTGAAGATGTATTCACATCTCCAGAGGTTTACAGACAGGTCCCGGATGATACCAGTGAAGACTGCCTTCATCTTACAGTGTGGGCGCCATCAGACAATGCTGGCAATCTGGCAGTGATGGTCTGGATCTACGGGGGAGGTTTCTATTTTGGATCTTCACGAATGCCACTATATGAAGGAAAATATCTTGCAGCAGAGAATGACATCATCGTTGTTTCAATGAATTACAGACTGGGGCCATTAGGGTTCAGCTATCTGGGGCCAGATACCATCCCTGGAAACATGGGCTTGATGGATCAACGACTTGCCTTACAGTGGGTGAAAGACAACATTGCCAACTTTGGTGGAGATCCATCTCGGGTGACAATATTTGAGAAAGTGCTGGTGGTGTCAGCGTAGGACACCACCTGGTGTCACCATTGTCACGTGACTTATTTCAGAGAGCCATCATGCAGAGCGGATCCCCGAATTTCCCATGGGCTTACACTTTTCCACACACAGCAAAACGGAAATTGAAGCAGTTTGCTGATCTCCTTGGATGCCCGTCATCTTCAACTGATGCAGAGATCTATGACTGTGTAAAGAAAGCAGATGCTCAAACTATGGCAGACCTTCAGCTTAGTGATTTGTTAGATGAAGGACTTGCATTTGGTCCAGTTGTGGATGGGCACTTCCTCCCCAATGACCCCAAACTCTTCTGACCACCGGTTCCAACAAGCAGGCTAGTGTAATGCATGGTTTTACTAAAGACGAGTTAACATTGTCTATAGCAGTTGCTTTGAAGCAGATGAGAAACATATCTTCATTACCGGAAACATTGATTTTAAGCCGCACAGAGTATGAAAGTTTTCTTTCCTATGATAGAATAGGTGGTAAAGGATTTGAAGAGCCTCTTCGCCTGTTTTATGAAAGTCAAACATCCCTCTTAGGGACACTCACTATTTGGATGTCATGACTCGCATGATGTCAGATAGGGATTTCAAGTGTCCTCATCTTGAGTTTGACAGATTGTACTCTCCTGCCAACCCTACCTACGTGTACAGTTTTAATCACCGACTATCAGTTAGTCCGTATCCAAAGTGGATAGGAGCAACCCATTGGTATGATGTTGAGTTTGTGTTTGGTTTGGTCCTGGAAAAGTATCTGGGATGTACAGAGGAGGAGATGGAACTCAGCAGGACCATCATGACCTATTGGACCAACTTTGCCAAGTCAGGGTGAGTAATAGAGTGCAATTGAGAGTGTGAGTGAGTGGCGAGTGATAGTGTGAGTTGGACAGAGTAAGTGAAAAATCGAGTCATGGAATTACGCAGGTTAATAGTCTCGGAACAGATGAGCGAGTGAGTGAGAGATCCCTCACTCGGTCTTATATTATTGTTCTTTACATGTTCAAACAATTTCACCTCAGATAAAAATTGATTCCCATTTCCAAACAGATCGATTTGTATTGTTTTCTTGAAGCTTTCATATCTTTATACAGCAACCCTAACACTCCTGTCCCCGTCAAGGTGAACTGGCCAACCTCTGACAACACTGATCTCTCCTACATGGCTCTTGACGTGGGCAGCAACTTAGCAGCGGGACACGGGGTAGTCCACCACGAATGTGTCTTCATCAACAGGATTCTACCCATGATTTCTAAAGGTAATGTGTTGTTATGATGGGATGTCGCTTGTTGCAATTACACATATTTGAATGTAGCTGTGTCTAAAACACTCAAAAACAGATCGATATGTCAAAGGAAGCATAGTTTTGTCTTTCCATTCCAAGTCAAGTCTCTCTTGGCTTCCATACGATTTTCCAAACACCAGTAAAATATGTGCCTCCTCCTTGGTCATGGTTTGACAATGACTTCTTAATGCGAAATCATGGAAAATGCGTATTACCCCACATCAATAATGGCTGTGGTTTTAACCAAAGGCAATTACAGACACAAAGAATACCCAGCGTATCAGGTGCTATACAGTGACGTAATGTATATGGAAAACAACCATAGAACATGTGTAACGAGGAAGACTTCAACTATTGCCAATTGCGTTCAGGACTTCTCCCAGATTTAATTATTTGCTTGTCGTCATCGTATCCAGCTCCCTGATTTCATAAAGCTGTGAATGTCTGGAACCCACATCACGTTTTGTTTGCCAACCAGTTAAGAACACGCCCACTCGTGTCTGTCTTGCTGTAGTGTTGCTGGAGCAGCCAGGGAAGTTATGAATCATATTGTTGTGTTTCAGACCCACCGGAAGGGCAGGACTACTGCACCAAAGGATGACAACATCTTAATAATCGGACCTGAGTATAAAATATAAATACACGATTAAAATTCAGGTTTAATGTTGTTTTGATGTTTATTAGTTATATGGCTTGCTGCCATGTAGATCTGTCAATGACGTCATTGAATAAATATTTGGCCTATGTTCTGTTGTTCAGTATTTAATCTATTTAAGCATGCTGTGTCCTGCAAGGCCAAGAACCTAACAAACACACACATCACGTTGCAATTCACAATATATACTGAACAGGAACCCAAGGAACCCAAGGAACCCAAGATACCCAAGGAACCCAAGGAACCAAAGAAATCAAAGGAACCCAAGGAACCCAAGATACCCAAGGAACCCAAGAAATCAAAGGAACCCAAGGAACCCAAGATACCAAAGGAACCTAAGGAAAGGGAACCCAAGGAACCCAAGGTACAATAGGAACCCAAAGTACCCAAGGAACCCAAGATACCCAAGGAACCCAAGGAACCAAGGAACCAAGGAGATAACCAAGGAACCCAAGGTACCCAAGGAACCCAAGATACCCAAGAGGCCAAGGAACCCAAGGAACCCCAAAGGAACCCAAAGGAACCCAAGATACCCAAGGAACCCAAGGAACCCAAAGGAACCTAAGGAACCCAAGATAACCAAGGAACCCAAGGTACAATAGGAACCCAAAGTACCCAAGGTACCCAAGGAACCCAAGGAACCCAAGGAACCCAAGGAACCCAAGATAACCAAGGAACCCAAGGTACAATAGGAACCCAAGATAACCAAGGAACCCAAGGTACAATAGGAACTCAAAGTACCCAAGGAACCCAAGGAACCCAAGGAACCCAAGATAACCAAGGAACCCAAGGTACCCAAGGAACCCAAGATAACCAAGGAACCCAAGGTACAATAGGAACCCAAAGTACCCAAGGAACCCAAAGTACCCAAGGTACCCAAGGAACCCAAGGAACCCAAGGAACACAAGGAACACATTGTGACGACTGCCAGCATGGTGATGCCTACTACCATTCTTACCTCGTTCATAACCAGCTGCCAAAAGGAAGTTGAAGTCAAAGAACCAATAGACATCCACATGACGTGACAATGCACGATATTCTGAAAATCTGAGAAACACATTCAAAATAGAGATTTCCTCTATTGTCAGATTGTCAGTGATGCTTTCTAACATTCGTCCATCTTTCCTGGTGATCCCCTTAAGGGTTGGTGGACAGTCAACGTCAAGACGTGTATGATGTTACCTTTGAGGTGAGGTGAGGTGAACTTGTGTTTAACGTCGTACTTGAGCATATTTCGCTCATATGACGACGTGCATGCGTGTGTATGTGTATGTGCGGCTGCTTGTACTAGCCCAGACTGAAGCTGGTTTTATAGTGCTAGCCCACTGAGATACCATGCCGCAGTGAAGCATGAATACCCCACTCAGACACATTATACTGACTCCGAGCCGACCAGTCCTTGTTGTACCCATTAATGCCGAGCGCCAGGCAGGGACCAACAAGTACCATATTTTAACGTCTTTTGGTATGACGCGATCGGGGATCGAACCCGCGACCTTCCGCTCTCCGGGCGGACGCTCTAATCACTACACCATGGAGGCGGTCGATATTACCTTTGATGCAGATAAAGCACTTAATGGGAGATCTACACACTGACCTCTGGTGTCAACTTAGCAACAACTTCTCCTTTGAATGTTTGTAGTTTCATTTTTTAGCAACACAAAAAGGGGGGTGGGGGGTGGGTGGGGGTGGTAAAATGTCGTATTTCAATGCTTCAGGAATCTCCCTGGTTGTGAACATCATAAAGTGAGTGTGAGGTTTGTAATAGAGGCTTTATTATACACCTGCAGCACTCTGGCCTTCCCTCCTGTGATGTAAATACACAAATACAAAACAATCAAACCTCACTCACTCACCCCCCCACTATCCACCTGCTCACTCACTCACTCACTCATTGCCTCACCCACTCACTCACTGACCCACACATCCATCCACCGGCTCACTCACTCACTCACTCATTGCTTCACCCTCTCACTCCCTGACCCACACATCCATCCACCGGCTCACTCACTCACTCACTCACTCACTCAAACCCACTCACTCACTGTTAAGTGTGAAAGAGGCTGTTATGGAATGCCTGTATTGTGAACTGTATTGCGATATGCTGCGAGGTCAAGGTCAGAATGGTCAGTCAAATATATTTCTCTTTTGATTTGGATTAAGCTATACAAATGATAACAAAACCTCTGCTGGTTTCTCAATATAACCTGTACATACTGAAAACTTGTTTCAAAACCTCTTGTTTGAAAAGTGTATTTCAGTATACCACTGACTCAAACCCACTCACTCACTCACTCACTCACTCACTCAAACTCACTCACTCACTTACTCACTCACTCATTCCATGGCCAAAGTCCCCCTGTGTCTACTTTACACATGTCGTAATCAGGCTGGCGGTCTCGCTGGATGACTTGCAGATTCTCCACCTGAAGCTTCGCCCAACAACCAAGTTCATATTAACACACCTGCCCCCGATTTAGGAGTCAGTGCAAAACTATAACTGTACATGTCACGGAAATCAGGTCATCGTGTGAGATATCACCGGTGAACAGCGCCTCAACGTGTACACACTTTTTGCACTATCCAGAGAACACTCATCAAGTCAGGTGCAAGATAAGTGTGTCACGAAAATAACATTCTGTTGATCACGAAATACCACTGAAGCATACAATAGCCCGAAATATAGACAATGCTGTTTTGGTGGTGTGACTACAGACGACAAGAGTTTATCTTTGAGAGCAGAGGCTGCATTAGTCTGTCTCACAGTCCCTGAACCACATTATTTTCCCCAATGCTTAGCCCTCCCTGCAATGCTGAAGCCCTAAATGAAGCAAGTCAAGATTTCCTCAGGTTCAGCCTGAATCTCTGGTCTCCCTGGGGCTCCTTTTCAATTTAAATGGGTTTATTTGCTACTATCAAAGTTATATGTATTCAGGGACTAAACGTTAGTCTAAGGCTGCATATGCTTTCATACAAATACGCCGTTCAATACCCTTCACTAACCGAGGGATCTGAATAAAAAATAAAATAATAATAATAATAATAATAATAATAAAAAATAAATAAAATAAATCCAAATAGGATTGCCAGTCACCAACATTCATGCTGTTTACACACGTGTCTATAATACTACTGCAGTGTCCTCCCTGTGTGATAAAACAACGACATTTCAGTTGTACGTCCTCCCTGTGTGATAAAACAACGACATTCAGTTGTACAGGAAATACTACTGCAGTGTCCTCCCTATGTGATAAAACAACGACATTCAGTTGTACAGGAAATACTACTGCAGTGTCCTCCCTGTGTGATAAAACAACGACATTCAGTTGTACAGGAAATACTACTGCAGTGTCTTCCTGTGTGATAAAACAACGACATTCAGTTGTACAGGAAATAGTACTGCAGTGTCCTCCCTATGTGATAAAACAACGACATTCAGTTGTACAGAAATACTACTGCAGTGTCTTCCTGTGTGATAAAACAACGACATTCAGTTGTACAGGAAATACTACTGCAGTGTCCTCCTATGTGATAAAACAACGACATTCAGTTGTACAGGAAATACTACCACTGCAGTGTCTTCCTGTGTGATAAAACAACGACATTCAGTTGTACAGGAAATAGTACTGCAGTGTCTTCCATGTGTGATAAAACAACGACATTCAGTTGTACAGGAAATACTACTGCAGTGTCCTCCCTGTGTGATAAACCAACGACATTCAGTTGTACAGGAAATACTACTGCAGTGTCCTTCTGTGTGATGATAAACCAACGACATTCAGTTGTACAGGAAATACTAAATACTACTGCAGTGCCCTCCCTGTGTGATAAAACAACGACATTCAGTTGTACAGGAAATAGTACTGCAGTGTCCTCCCTGTGTGATAAAACAACGACATTTCAGTTGTACAGGAAATAGTACTGCAGTGTCTTCCATGTGTGATAAAACAACGACATTCAGTTGTACAGGAAATACTACTAAAGCATAAGGTTGTCCGACATGAATAACGGATGACAGTGTTTCTACTCTGGACTATAACAGCTGATCCGAATATGGTTGCATACAAATAGGCCAGTAAACAGCCAACTCTCGTTCAGAGAACTACATATTCCCGCGAATTTACTTCAATTGTCTGTGTTCGTTACCTGGCCGAACGTTCCTCTGAAATGGGTACCAGTAAGGACAAGATGGTCGGATGTACATTAGTGCATTCAGTAATGAATGGGTACCAGTAAGGACAAGATGGTCGGATGTACATTAGTGCATTCAGTAATGAATGGGTACCAGTAAGGACAAGATGGTCGGATGTACATTAGTGCATTCAGTAATGAATAGGTACCAGTAAGGACAAGATGGTCGGATGTACATTAGTGCAGTCAGTAATGAATGGATACCAGTAAGGAGGGCGATGTGACTGTGAACGTTATCGCGCCTCACTGGCAGTATGAACTGCAGAGGAAGCCCAGGAATGGAAATAGAGGGCGCGTCCATTAACCGGGTTCTTAACTTGCCTTAGGGTTTAAATTTGGGTAATTTAAATGTGAAAATTGTTGACGATAATACATGTGTATGCATTATTTGTAGCAAATATTTCAGGCGTAATGCCTGACAAACAAATCCAATGTATACAGTACATATATCTTAGCGTCAGCTATCATACTGCAAATTTAATGTTTTAGAGTCAACATTCAAACACTCATTGTAGCTTTCAAAAGAATTTTTAATACATGTGCAGGAAATTTCCAAACTAGACGTATCAATGACAACATTTCGTCTTATTTTGTAGTCTCCATTTCACAGTTAAAACACCCTACTGAGTCTAGTAGAAGGTCACGTTTGGGCGACCTATGACCGTTCAATCAAACGCGAGACGGCCGAACGGACTTAACCAATCAGACAACGACTACTTGTTAGGGTTCGGCGGGACTTACAAAACGCTTTTGGTACTTTCTCTTCCCTGGTCGCTGACACGGGGTGTTCCTCTTTTGCCAGTCGGGCAAGTTGTTTATTTAGGGATTAAGAGGATCACCAGACCATGTTAATTAGCAAGACAATGATGGGGGATGACTGAGGAGATGACCAAGCCAAGAAAGAGGGCTATCATTTGTATTTTTATGTTCAGCATACATAAATGACCCAGAAAACGAAAATACAGAGAACTTAACGATAGACTACAGACAGAAAAAGACCATCTTCAAGCAGGAACTAAGACCATGTTAGAATATGGAGATGCTGTTTCTCATCTTGTTGGGCTTTAAAGTCAATTGTGTATGAACCATCATTGTGGACATTGATGATGTATGATTGTGATTAGTACCTTATCAATTTCTTATATTTACGCAGTTACATAATGATAAACATTGTGTACAGTTATGTATGTTATGTGTTACGTATGATTGTGATTAGTAATTTATCAATTTAGGTATGCGAACACAAAAATACAAATGATAGTCCACTTGTGTCACTTGTGTAAATGGCCTGTGGTCTGTTCTCACTGTATCCTTGAGGACGACAAGGAAATGGTCTCTGTAGCTTGTGACCAAGTCGTCCCTGGTGTTAATCGTTGCTCAACAAGAAGGATACCAACATCTCCAATGTGTTGTATCACGCTTGCTAGTCATAATTCGAAACTTATATCCCTGATACACTAAATGTCTACCACCTCGACCATTTGGAACAAACTGAACGTTCACCAAAGCATTTGCCATCATGGGATAAAGTGAACACTTGTCATAACATGGCACCTTATATACCTTACAGTAAAACAACATTGTTATTTATTGCTGTTCTAGATACATGGAGATGTATGGGGAACATGGAGATGTATGGAGAACATGGAGATGTATGGGGAACATGGAGATGTATGGAGAACATGGAGATGTATGGAGAACATGGAGATGTATGGAGAACATGGAGATGTATGGAGAACAGCCATGTAATAACTGAACCAAAAATCATTCCCTCTACTAGTGAAGGCCGTGTGGGATTAGTTAAACAAACAAACCCAGTCAACCATGCCTCATAATCCTCTTACTCCTTAAATAAATAACTTGTCCGGATACCACCGCTGACACTGATCTATCAACAAACGAAAATCCGCATAAAGCACAGATATATTTTTAACTGCTGTATATACGCTTATGGGTTTCTAATGACATGGTTACTATTTGCTCATATTTTCGCAAGATGACATCCTTGAATATTGACAAAAACGCTGTTATCTGCGACTGTTTACTCACTGTTTGTATCACTCTGAAGCGATCGTCGGAAAATAGCATTCGGAATCGTTCGAGTTTTTGAGGTAAAGGTTCAAACGGTATGTGCGAATGTTAACTTTCGTGATTTGGTAAGCTGTGTTCTGATTTGTCAGTCCAAAAGGTTAGCTGACGCGACCTTCTACTAGGTTTTGTTAGACTCAGTGTAGCAGTGTAACAAATAATACTGAGTCTAAGTTTACTAAGCCTGTTTAAAATTATACTTACAAATTAAAACAAATTACTGCAGAGCAATTGTTTGTATGTTGTTTAACGCCGCACTCAGCAATATTTTAGCTAGATTTCTGTAAATAATCGAGTCTGAAGCAAACATTCCTGTGTTAACATCATGCGCAAATGGGATACCAGCAAGCAAGTAAGCAAGCCTGACCCTCTGATCCGTTAGGCGCATCTTACGCTGCTGAAGACCAATTCTAACCTGGATCTTCACAGATGCAGTGCAGCTGCTATGGAAGAACAGAGTAGAGTGGCTGAGATAGCTACAAAGTCAGCAATATATAGTCAGCGACGGTCATCTAAACTGTGTGAAATATCAGGGGGTGATGAAGGTCAGAGAATGGTTCACTCCACTGTCCTCAAGTGACAATTATTAGAAACAACTACAACATATAACACTGATTCTGTGATTATCTAAGAACATGAATTGAAAAGCAACAAAAGTTTATCTGTTAATGTATCTTAAAAAAAGTTGTGTGTTTTCTTTTCAGAATGTGGACAGGAATGAAACTTGCATTTGCGACGCTTGTGACGTTGTTGCTTGAGTTGCATGTTGCAAAAACACAGAAAGTGTCAACACTAAATGGCCTCTTCTAGGACAACGTCTGTCAGTGTTGGGCAAGTCCCTTGACGTATTCTATGGAATCCCATATGCCAAGCCTCCTGTAGGTGATCTCCGATTCAAGCACCCTCAACCTTCAGAGTCATGGGGACCGGAAGTTAGAGATGCACAAAAACCGACGTCATCTTGCTTCCAACCAAAAAATGCTCATGGCAGTGATGAAAGTTACAAACAGATGCCCGATGATTACAGTGAAGACTGCCTTCATCTTACAGTGTGGGCGCCATCAGACAATGCTGGCAATCTGGCAGTGATGGTCTGGATCCACGGTGGAGGTTTTTATATTGGATCTACAAGACTGCCACTGTATGAAGGAAAATACATTGCAGCAGAGAATGGAGTCATCGTTGTTTCAATGAATTACAGATTGGGGCCTTTAGGGTTCAGCTACCTTGGTCCAGATACCATCCCTGGCAACATGGGCTTGGTGGATCAAAGATTAGCCTTACAGTGGGTGAAAGACAATATTGCTAACTTTGGTGGAGATCCAAAACGGGTGACCATATTTGGAGAAAGTGCTGGTGGTGCAAGTGTAGGTCTACACCTGGCATCACCGCTGTCACGTGACCTGTTTGACAGAGCAATAATGCAGAGTGGGACTCTCATCTCCCTATTTGCAGACCACATGCCCAAAACAGCAATACGGACACTGAAGAGACTTGCTGATCACCTTGAGTGCCCTTCATCTTCAACTGATACAGAGATATATGAGTGCTTGAAGACAGTAGATGCACAAACTATGGCAGACCTTCAGCTAGGTTTGTTCGGTGAAGGAATTGCATTTCGTCCAGTTGTGGATGGGTACTTCCTCCCCGATGACCCCAAAATTCTTCTGTCCACTGGCTCCATCAAGCAGACCAGTGTATTGCATGGTTTTACTAAAGATGAGACAGCACTGTTTTCTGCAATGATATTGAAGCAGATGAGAAACGTATCAACATTACCTGAATCACTCATTTTAAGTCGTCAAGAATATGATAATTTTATTTCATTTGACATGCTCACTGGAACAGACATTGAAGAGCCTATTCGTCTGTTTTATGAAAGTCAGATACCCCTTCTAAAGGACACGGACTATTTAGAGGTCGTAACTCGTGCAACTTCAGACAGGGGATTTAAGTGTCCTCATCTTGAGTTTGACAGATTATATTCTCCTGCTAACCCTACCTATGTCTACAGCTTTAATCATCGACTGTCAATTAGTCCGTATCCAAAGTGGATGGGAGCACCCCACTGGTACGAGCTTGACTTTGTTTTGGTTGGGTTCTGGAAAAGTCTCTGGGATGTACAGAGGAGGAGATGGAACTCAGCAGGACCATCATGACGTACTGGACCAACTTTGCCAAGTCCGGGTGAGTGAGTGACTGAATGAGCGAATGAAATATACATTCAATGATAAAAACGTTTTACTAAGTCACCCTTCTTTAAATTATACCACAGATAAATGTGTATAAAATAATCATGATTTCTTGATGTTTTCTTATGTGTATCCAGCGATCCAAACGCTCCTGTCCCCGTCAAGGTGAACTGGCCAGCCTCTGACAACACTGATCTCTCCTACATGGCCCTTGACGTGGGCAGCAAATTAGCAGCAGGACATGGGGTAGTCCACCATGAATGTGTCTTCATCAACAGGATTCTACCCATGATTTCTAAAGGTAAATCTATAATGGTACATTGGTTCCTGGTACACATAAATGAATATTTTAGAAGTGACTTGGATACTTCTCTTGTTTGGTTGAATATTTACGATGATAAGTAATGTTGTTGATTTTCTTTAATTATCACGAATGGTTGGAACAGACTCGTTTATATTGGTAGTTGTTGATTCTCAAGTTAAAACAAAATAGTTAACAGGGAATCAGTCTGTACGAGAATTGTGTGTGAAATTGAGAAACAAAAAAGATGTAATTAAACATTGTATTTCTTAAATTGTAAAGTCGCAAATCAATACAAAGACTTCACTTTGGGAGAGTGAGTGAGTGAGTTTAGTTTTACGCCCACACTCTGTAATATATGGCGGCGGCCAGTAAATAATCAAGTCTGGACCAGACAATCCAGTGATGAGCATCGATCTACACAACTGGGATACGATGACACACTTTGGCAGAACAAAATAGAGTGGCAGTACAAAGTCAGAGGTATAATATAACAGCAGTGATTGTAGACATAAAGACAATGATGGTCATAGTGACCTGTCAGCAATAGAAATTCAACTTGGAAGAAAGGGCCAGGCAGAGAGTATACAAAGTTTAAAGTGACCACTCACAATACTGGTCTTCTTGTGACTCGAGATGTGATGTGAGATGAAAGGCAATAGCTAAGTAAGATTCACTGACTGAATCTACAGGTACAAAGTATACCTTGAAACATTGTTGCACAACGTTTAACACTGCCTCATGGCAGCATGTTCATGCCAATATGTTCAATAGTGCAGCTATGGAAATTATGAATTCATGGTTGTGTTTCAGACCCACCGGAGGGGCAGGAGTACTGCACAAGAGGATGAAAGGACAGCATCATACTAATCTGACCCAAGTTAAAATACTGATACATCATTAACTTTTAAAGCTGTTTTGAACTGTATCTAAAGCCTCCAGAGATATTGTGACGCTGTTTATACAGCTTAACCGCCAATCACAGTCACTTCCACAATCACCCAACCACATCCAATACACCTATCAAAGACTTCGTGGAATAATTGTGTTGTTCCTCATGGTTTCATGTTGAATCTATTTTACATACTGCGGCAAGTAAGTGATCTGGTAGATACGTTATCGACTGAGGCAAGTCAATTGGCGTATGTGTGGTAGCTGCATTGGTAACCCGATTTTACGTATCATATTTGCATTGCTAAGTGTAATTATGTATACGATATCTACACTGACTAGTCAACTGGCACAGTTGCTATCTTCTCATACAAGTCAACTGCTATACACGTGAGTCGACTATACGAGTAGGTCAGCTGGTCTACAGAGGTGCATTGCCTGGATATGACAACATAAAGATATGGTGTAAACGTATTTAAAAAACATTCACACCAAGTAACCCATGAAGATCTGGGTCATAAGAGACGATGAAACGGATCGTGTGGGTGCATCACCGTATCCCATTTAACATGGGTACATGTTCATGATGTCAATGACTGGATGGTTGGTCCACAGACCTCAACCACCACGACTCCAACAAAAATGGAAATATGACAACTGCTAGTCTAGACTGTGGACGCTGTGTACCCCTCTAATTGGCACGGCTCCCGCGGCCGACAACATCCACTTGTCCGACTTCCATTTTTGTGGAAGTCGCGGTGGCTGAGCGGGCTAGCGGCTGACTTTGTGTGATGGCGATTAGGTACCTGACTCTGAGGGTGTGGGTTCGAATTCCGCATGGGACTCAACCCAACAAAAGTACTAGAATCTGTACTTTGCTAAGAAAGTGTAATCCCAAATATAACATGTGTTACATTTGACCACTCTCTAAATGGCATAGTGTAATAATAGCTTTTGGCCGTGGGAGCCGTGCCAATTAACGCTTATCAGAGGGGTACACAAAGTCCGCACTCTAGGCTACCAGTTGTCCGACTTCCATATTTGTGGAAGTCGCGGTGGCTAAGCGGGTTAGGCGGCTGTCTTTGTGCGCTGGCGATTAGGTGCCTAACTGTGAGGGTGTGGGTTCGAATCCCTCATGGTACTCAATCCAACAAAAGTACAAGAATCTGTTGTTTACTAAGAACGTGTAATCCCAAATATAACACATGTTACCAGATAAATAAACACACAAACAAACAAACCCATTGCAGGGTTACACTAGTTGTTTTTTTAAAAAACAGTGAACTGAAATTTCATTCAAATAAACTTTAAACTGATTTCAAAAGTCAATTTGTACGAAATTTCAGTTGCCTTGATGTGGCTTGAAAGCATTGCAGGTGTCAGACGTTTACACAACAGGTGAAATCCACAGGCATGGATATCGTGACTATAACCAAATAGACATGATTGTACAACGCATTAAACGTAGGGGGTATTGAATACAAATGTGTTACAAATATTGACATTTTATCATGAAAAATATAGTGTAAAAGGGACATTTGCCAAACCTACATCCTGTCCATCTCGATATATTTACCATGAAGAGTCAAAATCATAAATACCGTTTGAATCTGCCTCTATTCTCAAGACAATCTCGGATTCGTCGAGACATACTTTTCGTGAAACGTCCAATGTAAACTTGGTTCATTCTATCCCATTCTTCCTGCAGCGCTTCGCCAAGTTCATTAAGAGTGGTGGGTGGTTGTTGACTCCGTCTAAGGATATCCCAGACATGTTCGATGGGTGATAAGTCTGGACTAAGTGCTGGCCATGGTAAGGTGGTTATGTTCTCCTCCTGGAGGATGTGTTCTCCTACTGGAGGATATGTTCTCCTCCTGGAGGATATGTTCTCCTCCTGGAGGTTATGTTCTCCTCCTGGAGGTTATGTTCTCCTCCTGGAGGATATGTTCTCCTCCTGGAGGATATGTTCTCCTCCTGGAGGTTATGTTCTCCTCCTGGAGGTTATGTGTTTCCTCCTGGAGGTTATGTTCTCCTCCTGGAGGATGTGGATATGTTCTCCTCCTGGAGGATGTGTTCTCCTACTGAGGTTATGTTTCCTCCTCCTCCTGGATGTTCTCCTCCTGGAGGTTATGTTCTCCTGGAGGTTATGTTCTCCGAGGATGTGTTCTCCTCCTGGAGGTTATGTTCTTCTCCTCTCCTGGAGGTTATGTTCTCCTCCTGGAGGATGTGTTCTCCTCCTGGAGGTTATGTTCTCCTCCTGGAGGATATGTTCTCCTCCTGGAGGTTATGTTCTCCTCCTGGAGGTTGTGTTCTCCTCCTGGAGGTTATGTTCTCCTCCTGAAGGATATGTTCTCCTACTGGAGGATATGTTCTCCTCCTGGAGGTACTCCGTAACAACAACGATGTCTTTAAGTAATGTGACGTACGCTAATCGTAGGATAACATGCGGAGGTCATTTTTCACTGTAATACGCAACACACTGACTCGTGTCACTGTATGTTTCAAAAAATTTACCCCAACCGCTTGCAAGAAATTCATAAGATATTTTCAATGGAATAATCAATTTCTAACCCCCTACAATCATGCAACCTCGTTTCCAGTTACTCCCAAATGAAAATATTCCCTACTTTTTTAACTGTACAGATAACATAAATCAGAGGTAACTGAGTTAGTATGAACAAGGTTATTGAGCGGAGCTGTACCTTGACTTCAGGTGGAGAATCTGCAAGTCATCCAGCAAGGCCGTCAGTCTGATTACAGTATGTGTAAAGTAAACTCAGGGGGACTTCGATCATGCAGTCAATAGTGTTTGCAGGGGGATAGAATGACATGATTTTAACCAAGTTATCAAGCCAAACAGACACTTTAAGTCGTTTGCTACAACACATATGGATCCAGAAGCATTTCTTAGTGACCCAACACAAGTAATATATATAGTCGTTCATAAAACCTCATGCCCTCATTTGATCGTGACATACCCTGTAGTGATTACTGAACAGTGGGTGAGTGGTTCAGTGAGCGAGTGGTTCAGTGAGTGGGTGAGTGGTTCAGTGAGTGGTTGAGTGGTTGGGCGGTTGAGTGGGTGAGTGAGTGAGTGACTTTGGGCTATAAAGTTGAAAGTAATATACTGTTATAGAACACTCACTTACGTATGCACGCATTGACTCACTCACTCTTAAACCATTCAGTTCTCAATTGAACAGACATTCCGAACTCACCTATACCTTGTCAAAGACAGACATCTTATGAACGCACCACCATTTCGCTTTATCGCCACCCCTAAACACAACGCATGGGATGCACGTGCACAACGCAGTAGCTCCATACACGTGCATGGGGTGTCATTTTTTTATTTTGACGGTTTTCAAAAATATCGAAAAATCATTTTCACAATCATTTTGCATCACATTTTTCTAGCCGTTTTGGTTCTTTTTGGTTTGAAAATGAAAATCATATACATGCAAATTTCACGTCATACACAAATCATCTTTCAAGAGCGATAACTGTACGAACAACTATTGTCATAAGAAACAGTCCCAAAACAGTCATTATTATAATATCAACATTCATTGACTCCCATATATCGCCCAATTTTTTCAATCTTAAAATATAAATGAGGTTTCCCTACTTTTCTCGAGGAGCATATATCTGAGATTTTGCATGTCACGCTAACCAGGTCATATCACTGGTGTAACAGCGTCTGTGTGTACACCCCAGTGCAGCGTCCACAGTACAACTGTAGAGTCAGGTACAAGGTGAGTGTCTAATGAAAAATGGTATTGTTGTCCTTCAAATACCTTTGACGTTTATATACTTGTTGAAATATAGGTAATGGCTAGCAGTGTTGTTACTCCAACAGTTTATCTTTGAGGATTCAGTATGGATATACCTGCATACAAGAAGGACTGTATAATACTTACTCTTACCCGGAGACATTCATGTTGTTTACAAGCGATTGTTCCTTTTAAAGTGGCAGTCACACCTTCATGATATTCTGTTCAATTTCATGGTGTAGTTTGTGTTATCAATATAAATACTTTCGGATGCGTCTCTGTTCATTCAGAAACACAGGGGTACCGTTAAGGAATAGATTGTAATGTGACTGTGAACCGTATTCAGTTTACCTAAGAATGAAAATTAATGGCAGATTAATCCACAGACGAGATCATAAAATTCACCAACCGTTTGACAATCTTGACCGCTGGGTCTCTTTTACATACAATGAAGTCATGTCTACCACGTCATCATACTCAGCAAAGTCTATGCATTCTGTTCTAAACCAGCAACGTCTAGTCAAGATTCCTTTATCATCATCATAAGATTTACACCCATCATAACAGCTTTCAAAAGACTGTAGACAGATCCAAGAAATCTTCAAGCATTATTCTGACTGTGACGTCATGTCTACCACGTCACCATACGTAACCTTCCAAATTGTATCTCTATGTATTTTCTGTTCCACCATCACCGCTACAATTCTTCAATGTAATTACAATCGCAGTACGAAATACAATGGCAGAGGTGACAACAAAGTCAGTGATAAATAATATTCCCACATCAGCAACAGTACTCAAGCTTCCAAAACAGACGTATACTAAATATCCGAGGTGAAAAGATGATGTTCACAGAATGCTGGACACCACTGTCCACAAGTAACAATCTCAACATCATTATCCTGCATTAAACAGTGATATCACACGAACCATCTTGGTTATTAGTGTCACATTTCCTGTGTAAAGAACTGTGATTAATTAGGAACATGAATTGAAAAGGATCAAAGGTTTAACTGTAAATCGTATCTTAAAATTCGATATGTTCTTTCAGAATGTGGACAGGAATGAGACTTGCATTTGCGACGCTGGTGACGTTGTTGCTGGTGTTGCCTACTGTGAAAACAAAGGAAGTGTCAACTTTAAATGGCCCACTTCTAGGACAACGTCTGTCAGTGTTGGGCAAGTCCCTTGACGTATTCTATGGAATCCCATATGCCAAGCCTCCTGTGGGTGATTTTCGCTTCAAGCACCCTCAGCCTTCAGAGTCATGGGGACCGGAAGTAAGGGATGCACAAAACCCGACGCCATCTTGCTTCCAACCAAAAAATGCTCATGGCAGTGATGAAAGTTACAAACAGATGCCCGATGATTACAGTGAAGACTGCCTTCATCTTACAGTGTGGACACCATCAGAAAATAGTGGCAATCTAGCAGTGATGGTCTGGATCCACGGTGGAGGTTTTTATATTGGATCTACAAGACTGCCACTGTATGAAGGAAAATACATTGCAGCAGAGAATGGAGTCATCGTTGTTTCAATGAATTACAGATTGGGGCCTTTAGGGTTCAGCTACCTTGGTCGAGATACCATCCCTGGCAACATGGGCTTGATGGATCAAAGATTAGCCTTACAGTGGGTGAAAGACAATATTGCCAACTTTGGTGGAGATCCAACACGGGTGACCATATTTGGAGAAAGTGCTGGTGGTGCAAGTGTAGGTCTACACCTGGCATCACCTTTGTCACGTGACCTGTTTGACAGAGCAATAATGCAGAGTGGGACTCTCATCTCCCCATTTGCAGATAACATGCCCAAAACAGCAATACGGACACTGAAGAGACTTGCTGATCTCCTTGAATGCCCTTCATCTTCAACTGATACAGAGATATATGAGTGCTTGAAGACAGCAGATGCACAAACTATGGCAGACCTTCAGCTAGGTTTGCTCGGTGAAGGAATTCCATTTCGTCCAGTTGTGGATGGGAACTTCCTCCCCGATGACCCCAAAAGTCTTCTGTCCACTGGCTCCATCAAGCAGACCAGTGTATTGCATGGTTTTACTAAAAATGAGACAGCACTGTTTTCTGCAATGATACTGAAGCAGATGAGAAACGTATCAACATTGCCGGAAACACTCATTTTAAGTCGTCAAGAATATGATAATTTTATTTCATTTGACATGGTCACTGGAACAGACATTGAAGAGCCTATCCGTCTGTTTTATGAAAGTCAGATACCCCTTCTAAAGGACACTGACTATTTTGATGTCGTGACTCGCGCAACTTCGGATAGGGATTTCAAGTGTCCTCATCTTGAGTTTGACAGATTGTACTCTCCTGCTAACCCTACCTATGTCTACAGCTTTAATCACCGACTATCAATTAGTCCGAATCCAAAGTGGATGGGAGCACCCCACTGGTACGAGCTTGACTTTGTTTTTGGTTGGGTTCTGGAAAAGTCTCTGGGATTTACAGAGGAGGAGATGGAACTCAGCAGGACCATCATGACGTACTGGACCAACTTTGCCAAGTCCGGGTCAGTGAATGAATGAGCGAATGAAATATACATTCAATGACGAAAACGTTGTATTAAGTCACCCTTCTTTAAATTATACCACAGATAAATGTCTAAAATAATCAAGATTTCTTTAAGCTTTCTTATTTGTATCCAGCGATCCAGTAATTTTAAATGATACCAAATATATCATACAGTTTCAAATCTGTATCCAGCGATCCGAACGCTCCTGTCTCCGTCAAGGTGAACTGGCCAGCCTCTGACAACACTGATCTCTCCTACATGGCCCTTGACGTTGGCAGCAAATTATCAGCAGGACATGGGGTAGTCCATCACGAATGTGTCTTCATCAACAGCATTCTACCCATGATTTCTAAAGGTAAATTTATAATGGTACATTGGTTCCTGATACACATAATTAAATGTTTTTTAGATGTGACTTGGATACTTCTCTTGTTTGGTTAAATATTTACGATGATAAGTAATGTTGTTGTTTTTCTTCAATTATCACGAATGGTTGGAACTGACTCGTTTATATTGGTAGTTGCTGATTCTCAAGTTAAAACTATATAGTTAACCGGGACTCAGTCTGTAAGAGAATTATGTGTGAAACTAAGAAACAAAAAAGATGTAATTAAAAATTGTATTTCTAAAATTGTAAAGTCGCAAATCAATACAAAGACTTCACTTTGGAAGAGTGAGTGAGTGAGTTTAGTTTTACGCCCACACTCTGTAATATATGGCGGCGGCCAGTAAATAATCAAGTCTGGACCAGACAATCCAGTGATGAGCATCGATCTACACAACTGGGATACGATGACACACTTTGACAGAACAAAATTGAGTGGCAGTACAAAGTCAGAGGTATAATATAACAGTAGTGATTGTGGGAGTAAAGACAATGATGGTTATAGTGACCTGTCAACAACAGAGGTATAATATAACAGTAGTGATTGTAGGAGTAAAGACAATGATGGTCATAGTGACCTGTCAACAACAGAGGTATAATATAACAGCAGTGATTGTAGGAGTAAAGACAATGGTGGTCATAGTGACCTGTCAACAACAGAGGTATAATATAACAGCAGTGATTGTAGGAGTAAAGACAATGATGGTCATAGTGACCTGTCAGCAACAGAGGTATAATATAACAGCAGTGATTGTAGGAGTAAAGACAATGATGGTCATAGTGACCTGTCAGCAACAGAGGTATATATAACAGCAGTGATTGTGAGTAAAGACAATGGTGGTCATAGTGACCTGTCAGCAACAGAGGTATAATATAACAGCAGTGATTGTAGGAGTAAAGACATGGTGGTCATAGTGACCTGTCAGCAACAGAGGTATAATATAACAGCAGTGATTGTAGGAGTAAAGACAATGGTGGTCATAGTGACCTGTCAGCAACAGAGGTATAATATAACAGCAGTGATTGTAGGAGTAAAGACAATGGTGGTCATAGTGACCTGTCAGCAACAGAGGTATAATATAACAGCAGTGATTGTAGGAGTAAAGACAATGGTGGTCATAGTGACCTGTCAACAACAGAGGTATCATATAACAGCAGTGATATAAAACAGCAGTGACCTGTATGGTGGTCAAGACAAGTGACCTGTCAGCAACAGAGGTATAATATAACAGCAGTGATTGTAGGAGTAAAGACAATGGTGGTCATAGTGACCTGTCAGCAACAGAGGTATAATATAACAGCAGTGATTGTAGGAGTAAAGACAATGGTGGTCATAGTGACCTGTCAGCAACAGAGGTATAATATAACAGCAGTGATTGTAGGAGTAAAGACAATGATGGTCGTAGTGACCTGTCAGCAATAGCAATCCAACTTGGAAGAAAGGGCCAGGCAGAGAGTAAACAAAGTTTAAAGTGAACACTCACAATACTGGTCTTCTTGTGACTCGAGATGTGATGAGAGATGAAAGGCAATAGCTAAGTAAGATTCACTGACTGAATCTACAGGTACAAAGTATACCTTGAAACATTGTTGCACAACGTTTAACACCGTCTCATGGCAGCATGTTCATGCCAATATGTTCCATAGTGCAGCTATGGTAATTATGAATTCATGGTTGTGTTTCAGACCCACAGGAGGGGCAGGAGTACTGCACAAGAGGATGAATGGACAGCATCATACTAATCTGACCCAAGTTAAAATACTGATACATCATTATCTTTTAACGCTGTTTTCAACCGTATCTGGTGTCCCCACAGATATTGTAACGCTGTTTATACAGTTTAATCGCCAATCACAGTCACTTCCTCAATCTCCCAACCACAGTCTGTATACCTATCAAAGACTTTGTGGAATCATAATGTTGCTCTTCATGGTTTCATGTTAAATCTATTTCAGCATACTGTGTCAAGCAAGTCAACTGGTAGATACGTTATCGATTTAAATTGTAACACATTTGGTATTTTAATAAAGGAAGCTGGTATATATATTGATCTTTCTCTTCACCCACATCATTCATACAACAGAATTACTTTCATCTATTCGTATCCTATTCCATCTTCCATTTTCAACTGGTAAATGGTGGCATGAAGATGGAACATAACTTAGATGAATTGTGTGTAAATAATTTAGTGAGTGAGTGACTGAGTGAGTTTAGTTGTACGCCGCACTCAGCAATATTCCAGCTATATGGCGGCGGTCTGTTAATAATCGCGTCTGGACCAGATAATCCAGTGATCAACAGCATGAACATCGATCTACGCAATTGGGATACGATGACATGTGTCAACCCAGTCAGCGAGCCTAACCACCCGATCGCGTTAGTCGCCTCTTACGACAAGCATGGGTTACTGAAGATCAATTCTAACCCGGATCTTCACGGGTGATTAATACAAGGAAACGCTTAGAACATATCAATAGATTACCTGCTAATTGGTGCAGAAGAATTCTGACTCTTATTGAAAAAATCACTGTTTTATAAACTTGGGCAATCTCAACTCTTGTACACATTTTCTCTGCACTGCCAAACCCACCTAAACATTAATTAAAGAACGCAATGAAATAATTTATAGATGTTTATGGAAAGATAGAAACGAGAAAATAAAGAGATCAACTATAAACAGAGATTATCAAGATGGAGGCCTCAGAATGATCGATGTAGAATGTTTCATTAATCTTTCCTGTAATTCATTTATTCTCACTTGACTCCAATGCTGGTGACAGTATATCTGACCACGATAGTCCTTGTTGGAGAGATGTTTTACCTACATGGAAGATTTTCTATAAGAAAATTACTTTTGAGGAAAATGATGTAGACCAAATCTTGACTGAAACACTTTGGTTGAATTATTTCTTTAAATCATCATATATTATATAACTGGTTTAGTATAAAAGATATATGTGATGAAAATGGCTTTCTAAGAATTGAAAATTTAAAACAGGAATACGAAATACAGGGAACTGTCTTAGACTATCAACAATTGTTAAACAATATTCCAAATAACTGGTGACCCGGTTTCGAATCCCCATATAGGCACAATGTGTGAAGCCCATTTCTGGTGTCCCCCGCTGTGATGTTGCTGGAATATTGCTAAAAGCGGCGTAAAACCAAACTCAGTCAGTCAGTCCAAATAACTGGACATATCACATAAGTAACAGAACACTTACATTCGATGAACTGCATCTTAATAATATATACAACTATATTATCTGTAATGCTAAAGGCTCAAGGAAATTCTATGATGAACTAATTAAGAATGATACTACACCTAAGTCCGTAAAATATTGGAAAACTGTCTTTCAGCATGGGATTGACTTGAAAGATGTATTTAGCTATTATAGGAAATGTACAAATGACTGTATGCTCTTAGACCTTCAATGCAGATTTATATACAGAATAATGTATTAAAAAAATTCTATTGAAGATGAAGTTAGTTGATAATGATACATGTACATTTTGTAAAACCGCCTCAGAAGATATATCACATGTTTTCTTTAAATGTCAATTTCTTCATAACTTTTGGCTTGAAGTTGAAGAATTCCTGAATGATAACCTCCAAACCAATCTGGCACTATCTAAATTCATTATTATGTTTGGACTACCCTCAAACAACCAAGTAATATATCACATTTTACTACGTGCCAAAAGATAATTCTATACTTCAAGCCTTAAACAGCAAGATATAGACTTTGTAGGGTTTCTCATGCTGCTTAAGGGCATATGCTATCGAAAGGTTTATTGCAATGAAAAATAATAAATTCAGTTGTTTTACTAGGAAATGGCATCACTTACATACGGTACTCTGACATTTTAATTTAGCACTCGTGCAAATTGATTTACTGGAACTGCTGTGTCCACTACAGCTATAACATTTTCACTCAACTCCTATTTATCTATAAAATTATCTACATATGTACACCCTCATCTGCGTGTACAGTTTTGTACTTATCTGATAACGGGACCGGGTGGTCAGGCTCACTCACTCCTTGTGTTAATCACCCACAGGTCATTTAATGAAGCATTTAAGGAAATTCCTAAAATTTCAAAGTTCCCTCTGTGCCAGTTAAGATTAAGGTCATTGGCTAAAGTTATATTACTTTCAGACATTGAACCTATCCAAATAGCCTTGGTTTCATCTAAGAGAATTTTAAGCCCTGAGATTTGTTGAAAACTGTTCAGTGTTTCAATTGTTGCATTGGGGCTATTTTCAGATCCATCTAGAAATAACTGAGTATCATCAGCATACTGTCCTAGTTTATGTTCAATATCATTAAGAGTTAGACGGAAAAGTTAACTTACGAGTTTTTTAACATGAACAGGAAGTGGGACTCAAGATTGGTTTCACCATCGAATCAAAGAGATATAGTTTATATTGTACTGATAAGTGTAACATTCAACTTCTGCGTAAAACAAAACACATGGCTTTAGTAGCTTGTTGACAGAGATTTGACATAGATCATTTGAAAGAACATTTTCTATCAAAAATAACTTCATGAAACATAATGACAGTTTTCACCTAAATGGTTGAAATATCCAATTGGAACATACCCATTTATACATGGATGTTGCC